TGCAGTTATTAAAGTTAAGGGATTAAAAAAGTATAAAAAATAATTTAAGGACCAAAAAAGTACAACAAATAGTTTATGAACCAAAAAAGTACAATTTAATAAAGTTGACAGATCAAAAAGTGAAATTCAATAAAGTTGAGGGATAAAAAAGTAAAATTCCATAAAGTTGAGGGATAAAAAAGTGAAATTTAATGAAGTTAAGGGACAAAAAAGTGAAACTCAATGAAGTTGAGAGACCAAAATTAGCATTTAACCAATTTTTTAGTGTGAAATGTGACGGAACATTAACGGAATAATAGAAGATTTGACGGAAGTTAGTTTTCCGTCCAATTGAGACCTTATTTTAGAATTTTGTGGAGTTCGAGACCTCCATTGAGCGCAATCAAAGTTTGGGTCCGAAATTGTGAATTTAGTGTAAGTTCGGGTCCTTATGTCATATTTTTACCTACCGTAAATTATTGAGAATTCCAATACAAGTCTTTTTTCTTTTTGGACCAACTTTTATTTATATAGGGTGTCTGGGAGACTGGGACATCATGTGTCTAACACCTTTTAACTTATATCAAGCAAACAGCCAGAAGGCAACACTCATAATTGAGAAGAATTGCTGTATATTTGTCGGATCGGACTTCAAATTACATTTCAAATTTATTTTGTAATAGCAAGTGATGCAAATTGCACAACTTTGCACATTCCTTCAAATTTGTCTGTCTCAATCTTCAGCGCCCCACACGCAAGGACAATTATCACGTTCGCGTCGGTGACAGCTGTAACTTCAATTATACTTTAGCACGTGAATTGAGATGAATTCCACTACCTATGTTTTCTTCTCTCCGTCCAGGACAAACTGCTTTCTTCGGTCCTTAATTTTTGGCTCAAAGTATAAGTTGGTCCTCAACCTTCACTTTGTTAGTTTGTGCAGGTCCAACATTCTTCTAGTAGTCATTAAGGCTTCAAAGCTAGTGTGTGATTAGGGCTGTAAATGAATTACGCTACTCAAGTAAAATTTGAGTTCAACCTGACTTGAGTTTAAGTTAGAGTTGAAAGTTCAATAAAAAAAATTAAGTATAATCAAATCTAAATTGTAAACTAAATTTAATTCAACTCGATTTAATTATATTAAAATTTAATTACATATATTAAATATTTAAAATTATAATTTTTATTTAATTTAAATCTTAAATTAAACTCAAATACTTGATAGAACTTACAAGTTGAATAATTTAACTCTTTTTTTTTATAATAAATTTAATGTTTATTTATGTACTGCTCATACAAATAAAATATTGATATATCATTATCGACATAATAAGTATTGACCTTATTTATAGACACAAAATACAAATAAACATTAAGTCTACCACAAGGAAAAGAATTAAATTACCAAAATTAACAAATTTAAGAATTTATTTATTTCAATAAAAATTTAAAAATTTAATAAAAAAATCTAAAGTAAATTTAGAGACTTAACATATAATTTTGCCTTTTAATTATGAGACATAACACGAAAGTGTGATAAATTAAAAAAAAAAAATTATTATTTATTATACAATCTAAAATAATTTAAAAGAAAGTAATTTTTTTAGTTTGATTAATGACAATTTAATTGCAGTAAAATGCACCGAGCCCTTCGGGCTAAATGGCAATAACCACCCACGGTGTACTCTCCCCTCCTCAAGGCTGGGGTTCAAACCCAGCCCCTTGTAAAATCTGTTCGAAAAAAAAAAATAATAATTGCGGTCAAATAATAATAATGACAATTTAATTATTATCTTAAATGTAAATTTGCATTAAGGATGCTATGGATTTTATTAAAAAACCTTAATACATATATAATAAATTCAATTACAA